AAATGTAATTAAGGGAGGGGGGTTCCTCGAGAGAGACAGAGCTCTGATGGTGAAATGATTGACATATAAGCTTGAGGACCTGAATTCTAGCCCCAGAACCAAGGCAAAGAAGCTAGGTGTGATGGCACCTGAGGAACCATACAGCCCTGGCTTCCACATACACACTCATCACACACACACACACACATACAGAGACACACACACACATATTCATACACACAAATACACACATACAGACACATACACACATATGTATACACACATACACTCTCTCTTACACACATACAAACATACACACTCTGTCCCTCTCACACACACATACATTCATACACATACACTCTCACGAAAATACACTCACATGCATACTCCCTCTCATTCACACACAAACACAAACACACAATTTAAGAATAAAAATAAATGGGGCTGGAGAGATGGCTCAGAGGTTAAGAACACTGGCTGTTCTTCCTAAAGGTCCTGAGTTCAATTCCCAGCAACCATGTGCTGACTCATAACCATCTATAATGAGACCTGGTGCCCTCTTCTGGCCTGCAGGCATACATGCAGACAGAATGCTGTATTCATAATAAATCCTTTAAAAAAAATAAGTAAATGCACAAGTGAGCACTCTGGAGCCAGCCAGTGAGAGAGTGCACAGAGACAAAAACATAAGGCCCAGAGGCCCTTGGTAGTGGTGGGCTTGTGGTACTCAGGGTCAGGGACAGGGTTGGGGAGACCAAAGTGAAACCAAAGCTGACACAGGCATGGGTTGTTTTTGTTTTCTGTCTTTCTTTGGTTTTCTTTTTAGGTTTTGTTTTTTCTTTTGTTTTGTTTTGAGATAGGGTCTCTTGTAGCTCATGCTAGCCTTGAATCCATTATTAGCTGAGGCTGGCCTTGAGTTCTTGATCCTCCTCCCCCATAGAAATGCACCAGCACACCCAACTGGAAAGCACAGCCCCAGCCCTGCCCTATTGGATTCCCCAATTGGATTACCCATCTGTGAGACAAGGGACCCAAGGAAATACCATGGGCCAAACAATGAAGGAACAGGACTCTCAGGGTAGCAGCGCTAAAGCTAGCATCTCTCTACAGAGGCCTGTCTCCTGTGTTCTCGGATGAGACTATGGGGTCAGATGGGGACACACAGCCTCCCCCCCCCCCCCTGTGCCCCAAACAGAGCAGTGCAGGAAACCTTGCAAAGTGAGAAAGGAGTGTCTAACAAGTAGGGCACCGGCAGACACGCACGCACGCACCGGCGCACACCCAGAGCACGGGGTTCACGTGTGGACTGTTGGAAGAAAGGCTTACAAGAGCTGAGCATCTGTGTCTGGGAGACCCAGCGAGGGAGAGGAGCAGGGAACAGCTGCTGGTGGTGGATTCCCAGCCCGGCCTCCCCAGCTGTCACTCTGAAGGACCTGAATGCTGATTGGCGTCCCCATGTGGCCTCTGCCTAGACCCAGCTGCCTGAGACGATGAACAATAGAGGGTCATTTTGTCGTTAAGTGCCCTGCCTGCTGCCCAGCCCCTTTCCCTTGGAGGCAGTCTGCTCCTTTCTCTTTCCCCTCGGAGACCCTCCTGTCTCTCAGCGTTCTCTGGGGCTGGCTGTACTGCGCCACCTCCTGGCCAGCCCTATGCACTCCTCTTAGAAGTTCTTGCCCCCACCCCTTACCTTGTTCCTTACCCGGCACCTGATCCCGGCACTCCCCGCTCACCTGCACGAGTGGCCAGCCCCACCAAGGCCAGGATGGCCCAGAAGCTGCCCCAGGACCCAGGCTTGCAGTAGCCTTTCCTGAGCATCTTGGTGCCCTTGTCCCTAAGTCCACCGGAGGGACAGTCAAGTCCAGAGCACTCCAATCCCATCCCTCCTCCTTATATAGGATCCAGCAAGGGGACAGTGCCCCCTTCCCTCCCGGCCTCCCTCCCCCTACCAGTCTCTGCCATGGATTGGCTGAAGCTGGCCCCTGCTGTTGCCTAGGCAACTACTTAAGCCAGAGTGTGGCCGCCCCAGGGGCTATTGTGCAGGCCTGGGCCCCCAAGGGGAACAGATCCGGACACCCTCCTCCCCCCACCTCTCCAGACAACCCAGCAAAGCTAGCCGTTCCTCTCTCTGGAAGTTTTAAGCCCTCTGAAGGGCAAGCAAAGGGCTCCAGGACCCCTGGCAGCCACCAGCCCCAGGGCCCCAGCCCCCAGGCCCAGCCTCCACCCTGGCACAGAGAATACTTGGCAATGCCCTGGTGAGCTGGCTGCAAAGGAAGGGCCTGGAAGAGGCAAGGAAGAGCTGGCTCAAGGTTCTCCCCCTCCTCCACTCCCATTTTAGGGTGGGCCAGTTCTCCAGAAGGGAGGATAAGAGTATTGAATAGGGGTATGGAGTAAAGGGGATCATTCTCATGCTATTTGCTGAAGAAACTCTGGAGAGGGTGATGGGCCTTTGGGAGAGCTGCACAGGGACTGACCATCTCCCATCAAGGATACTGTACTGTGGCCCTTGCTGTAGGAGCACAGCTGTTACTCTACCAAGACATCCCATCTTTAGCTCACCGCAGTGGATGTCTCCATGTCTCCAGGCTCCCCTCCCCAGCTTCTGCCTAATCTCCAGCCTTCCCCTTCCCAAAGTTCCAAGAAGACATGCAGCAAACCTGGCACCATAGTCCATGTGTAGGGAAACTGAGGCAGGAAGCTAGATTTTGGTGTCAGACAGTATAGAGACATATTCTGAAAACATGAGGAACGAAGAAGGGGAGAGTGGGGTCTAGAGTCTAGTATATGTGTGTTCATGTCTGTGTGGGTGATGTATAGGTTTGTGTGTACATGTGTATATATGTGGGTATGTGTTGTTATTGAGACCTCACCTTTGCATAAAATCAACAGGATTTGCCCCTATTTCCTTGTGAGAGGGACTCCCTTGAGGTTGACACATGGAAGTCGGTGGATCCTAGGAAATGTGGCCCTGGAGGTGAGTTGGAACTTCTTGCCCTCGCTCTCTGGATCCCAGGAACTAGTTTCATGTATTGAGCTCTGTCTCTTTCTGGTGCAGAGAGCCCCAACAGCTTCACCCCCTCCTGGAGCCACAGGGAAAGCAAGAACTGGGTCTGGCACCAGCCTTGTCCGGGTTGGCAGAATCGGAGCTGTCCGGCTCAGCGGAAGCGCCTCCCAGATGACTCAACCCTCATGCCTGGTCTTCCTTGTCCAGATGCACCATGCGTCTCCCACTGGGCTGCCTGCCCACCCTTCCCATAGACTGCACAACACCTAGGCACATCTGAGGCCATCAGAGCCTATTCAGGAAGAAACTCTTCACCAAGGACAGGCAACCTGCTGCAGCTGGACTTGGCTACTTTGTGGTTTCTTTTTTCCATCCGTTCAACCCCTTAGCACTATCTCTTATCTAAGAGAGAAAAACAGGATAGAGAGGAAAGAGATCCCTGAAGAAAGTCAGGAGTTAGAAAGGGGGCAAAGTCATCGTTAGATAACTTCCTGCTAATTAGGGACATTAAGTTTTTTTGGAGCAAATTTGCTGTTCTCTGTCAGGATATCTACTTTTCTTCTTGTTGTTGTTTCTTCTTTTTGCATGACTACTTAAACAAACTCTGACAAACCATGACCAACAACAAGTCCGCCTCTCAGGGCCCTAGCATTTATGTACCCTCTAAAAAGTCCCCTGAATTCCAAATGTCACATAATTGCAGAAACTATCTTCAGCTGGCAAAATCATGCCCCTGCCAGAGCATGAGTCAAATCACAGTCAGCTGCTGCAGACACGCTGAAGCAGCCCCATATCCCACAGCTGGGATTAAGACAAAAGCATATTCTTATAATAGTTCTGTGTTTTTGTTTTTTTGTTTTGTTTTGTTTTGTTTTTAAAGAAACCAAAATTTCAGAATTCTCACTACAACTTACCTCTGAACAGGTACCATCTGTGTACCTGATAATGACTCGGTGGCCTACCTCTGCCACCACCTGTGCCCAGTCAGGTACTGCCATTCCCCTATGTGACAATGTTGACAATGCTGCCCCCGTGGCTATGGATCCAGCAGACCTCAGCTCTTGTCTTGTGGCGCTCAATGCTATTGATAAGCATGGCCTCTCCTGTGGAGTGTGAAGGTTCCTGACACCCACATGTTCCTGAATTACAGAATTTTTCTGTCTAGAAAGCCACATATTCACCATGAAGATTCCAAGGCAATTTTTAAAAATATTTTGTTGTCATTTTATAGGTATGGGTCTTGCCTGCATGTATATGTCTGTGTACCGTGAGCATGCAGTACCCACAGGGCCAGAAGAGTGCATCAGATCCCCTGGAATTGTAGTTTACAGATGGTTTGTGAGCTGCCATGGGGGTTCTGAGAATTGAACCCCTGTCTTCCTGAAGAGCAGCTAGTGCTCTTAACTGCTGAGCTGTCTCTCCAGTTCCTCCCAAAGCAATTTTTAATTTTTAAATTTTTACGTGTGTGTGTGTGTGTGTGTGTGTGTGTGTGTGTGTGTGTTTGGAGACCAAAAGAGTGTGTTGGATCCTCTGGAGATGGAGTTATATAGAAGGTTGAGAGCCACCAGACATGAGTGCTGGGTTTTCCCATGTGAATGCTGGGAATTGAACTTGTGTCCTTTGCAAGACGAGCATCAAGCCATCACCACCATCCCCAAAGTAGGACATATATATGTTTGTATAGAATGATCCCTTCCATAGGGAGGGACCCAAGGGTGAAGATGAGGTTGGAGCGGCTAAGCTGGCTGAAGGCACAGCTTAGATGAAAAGGTGTCCTCTTTAGCAAATGGAGTTTCCCTCCTCTCTGCTGCCTTTGCCTTGCCCCTGATCCAGATGCTCTGGCTATCTACATAGGTCACAGGAGAGCTGTAATGGAGAACACTGGGCTCTGTCTGAAGAGCCCTTAAGCTACCTTAGAGTGTTTATATTCCTCAAAATAAAAATAAAATACAGTAGAAATGGAGATAGCACTCAGCACCTGGAGCAGCAGATATAGGTTTGCCAAGGGGCCTGGAGGAACCTTGCAGGACCCCTGGTGGCCACCAGGGGGCAGGCAGCAAGGCTTCTGCTGTGAAAATTCAAGTGAGTCTTGGGCTCAGGTAGGTTGGCACCAGCCCTGGACATGGGATCTACCTTAGGGAGCCAGAAAAAGCCTGTCATTCCCTGACACACTTCCTGGTACATTTTCAGAAACTAAACCACCATGGTAGCTTGAATGAGCATGGCTCTCCTAGGCTCATACGTTTGCAAGTTTGATCCCCAGCAAGTGGAACTGTTTGAACAGATTAGGAGGTGTGGCCTGGTTGGAGAAGGTGTGTCGCTGGGGGTGGGCTTTGAGGTTTCCAAAGCCCAGGCCAGGCTTGGTCTCTCGCTCTCTGCCTGCAGATCAGAATGTAAAGCTCTCGGCGCCATGCCTGTCAGCTTCCTACCATAAGGTTCATGGACTAACCCTCTAAAACTATGAGCCAGTCCCGCTTAAGTACTTTCTTCTCTAATTGCTGCCTTGGTCAGGGTGTGTCCTCATTGCAGCAGAAAGGTAACTAAGACAACCATGGAAAGTGTCTCCAGGGTAGACCTCAGTTCTGCAGCCCACGCTGTCCCCCTGGATTCTGTGCCCTGATGCCCACAGTAGGCGGACCTGGTTACTCCTCACCCAGCTGCAGAGAGCTGCTCACCACACATTCCAGCTTCTTCGGAGCGTTGCTGGCACCGGCTGGTGTTTATTTACCAGAGAATAGTGTTCCTGAGAGCTGCTTGGCTGCACCACGTCCAGGAAAAAAAAAAACAGGGTCCTGTGGTCTTCAGCCTGCCGGCAGCCTGACCAGCCTTCTCCTGGGGGTAGCACAGCACATGGCCTCCTGCCTTTCTCTGTTTCAACACACCCCTTCTCTGGGTAGCCTGGACTCATCCCACCCTTCCATGTGGCCTCTACAGGTGAGAATCCTTTGAACTTAACCCCTGAGAGGTCTCTGGGGACCTAAGCCCCGGCTGCAGCTGCCTTCCTCTGAGACTTGGTGCTAATCTCCCAGTTTCTGGACACAAATGTTCTCTTTTCTGGCAAGCAAGGGTCTTTCATCATGTGGGTGACCACAGACTCTGCCCCCTGTATCCTTTAGCCTTCCCCAAGAGCCTCAACTTCAGGGTGTGGCTGTGCCCACTCAGTGGGCCAGTTTGCCATAGATGCTTTCACCCGAGGCAGCCTTCCAGAGCTGGGCCTGCCTTTCTGCCTTTTCACCTTACTCTCCTTCCCCACAAGCACAGACAAACCTTTCAGGAAACCCTTGCCCACAGCCTTTCTCACCCAAAGCCTCTACCCAGCAAACATTCCCTGCCAGTCCTGTACCGTAGGAGAGCCTGTTTTGTTCCTACTGGAACCACTAGAGACTCATGCTGGGGCCCTCCCCTTCCTTCCCTTGTCTCCCCACTCCTCCTTCCCCACCCCACTCTCCCACTCTCTGTACCAACAGACTCAGAGCTAGAGGGAGAAGCGTGGAGCAGATAACTCTCCCTCAGAGAGCCAGTGTGTGAGGGACACACAGCTGATTATGTTGGAAGGTGCTTTACAGACCGCAAGGAAAAGCTACTGGTGACTTAGGGCCCAGGACCCGGAACTATGGGACTTGAGGGACCGGAGACAGGTAAAGCATTTTCAAATGGGAGAAGGGGTAGTAAGTTAGAGGGCAGGGCACGGGTGTGGGGTGGGGGCGTGATGCTGCTGATAGTGAGAAGGTGGGATTGGGAGGTAGGAGGGAGGCTTCCCCTCTCCTCTTCAGCAGGAAAGGAAAAAGCCATAAGTTAAATTCTAAAAAGCCTCAAGTGCACTTGAGGCAACTAGAGGCCAAAGCAGGTGTGTAGGGGTCCTCGCTCCACACTAGCGGCTGGATAACTGCACCACCTCACTCCGGCACTGGGTTTCCTTATCAGACAATCCCAGTCATTTGAGCATCAGTAGAAGAGTGATGCTCTTGGCTTAGGAAGGAAGGGACCCCAGTCAGTCTCTGGGGAGAGGAGCTGGCTGTTAAATGGAGCTGAGCAGTGGCCTGGAGCCACCACCCACCGGCTCAGAGTCATCCAGCACAAGGAGCAGCCACTCCAGTCCCTCTCCAGACCCTGTGTCCACAAGTACCACAGGGTAGCCGGTTTCCGTGGTGCCAGGGATGACGATGTGGGGGAGAGCAGTCGCCACGGCCAAGTAGTCCTGCCACTGATAAGAGAGAAGCCCGGGGGCAGCAAGGGTGCAGTTCCATAGAGATAGCCACTGCATTTGTCTGGGTCTGTCCCAGGGCTCTGCCCCGAGCAGTACTGAATGAATAGAAGGGCCTTGGGGTCAGCAGGGGCTGCTATCCATCAAGCCCCAGTGAAAAGTAACTTGTTTTTCCGCCTTTCCATCCTTCCTAGCTGGGCAGCCACAAGTGACCATGCTGCCTGCATTCAATGGGAGTGACCTAAGATACAATGATGTGGACGGCCACTGGCCACAGAGCCCAGAGAGGTCGCCGTGTGTGGCTGGTATCATCCCTGTCATTTATTACAGTGTCCTACTGAGCCTGGGGCTACCTGGTGAGTGGGGAGCCAGGGTCTGGGACCTCAGGCTGGGCCAGAACTGAGGCCCTCCTTCAAGCAGTCCCAGTTCTCTGAAGATCACGAAGAATCTGGGAAGCACTGTCCATGTCCCTGTGTGGCCACTGTGCAGAGTGGAGCCTGAGTATTGGCCGGGGTGTGTGGGTTGGAGGGATGCATTGATGTAGGAAAGGCCATGTGGCCGGGTAGTGGGGGCACACTTCTTTCATCCCGGCACTCGGGAGGCAGAGGCAGGTAGGATCTCTGTGAGTTTGAGGCCAGCCTAGTCTACAGAGTGAGTTCCAGGGCAGCCAAGGCTACACAGAGAAACCCTGCCACAAAAAAAAAAAAAAAAAAAAAAAAAGAAAAGAAAAGAAAGAAAAAAGAAAATGAAAGGCCTTGTGGAGTTGTTTGAGGTCACTTCCTAAGTCTAGTACATAAACCTATACCTGGATCCCAGGACACCTCTGTTCTAAAGAGCATAGAACACCTGAGAAAGACCTGAGCCAAAAAGGCAGCTTGTGGGTGTCCCCTAGGTGAGCCCAGCTAGTGTTGCCGCAGTGGTCCATGGCCTGGGTGTGATGGCCAAGGCTGAGCAGATTAAGCAGCTCAGCCAAGCAGCCTTTGTTCTGGTTTGATTTGGTTTTGTGGTTACAGGGGACAGAACCCAGGAAAGCAGAAACAGGAACTACAGGGCCTACCCTGTACTACCCGGAATTGTAGGCCAGCCTGGGCAACTTAGTGAGACCCTGACTCAAAATACAAAGTGAAAAAGAAGGCTACTGGACTAAGGCTATATACTGCAGTAGTTTCCGGTACTGTGGGAGGGAGTAAAGAGGGAACCAGAAACAGAAGGCACACTGTCCCTTGCAATGTCAGGTGGGAGGGACCATGCAGACATCTTGAGGAGCCCCACTGCTAATGCCCCTTCTAATGCTTCTGACCTCTCCCTTCCCTGACATGGGTCTCCACCAGTCAACCTGCTGACTGCAGTGGCCTTGGCCCGCCTTGCTGCCAGGACCAGGAAGCCCTCCTACCACTACCTCCTGGCACTCACGGCTTCAGATATCCTCACGCAACTGATCATCGTGTTCGTAGGCTTCCTCCTACAGGGAGCCTTGCTGGGCCGACAGGTGCCCCAGGCTGTGGTGCGCACAGCTAACATCCTGGAGTTTGCTGCCAATCATGCCTCGGTCTGGATTGCAGTCCTGCTCACGGTGGATCGCTACAACGCCCTGTGCCGCCCCCTGCGCCATCGGGCCACCTCGTCCCCAGGCCGGACCCACCGCACTATCGCCACTATCCTTGGCACTGCCCTGCTGACGGGCATCCCATTCTACTGGTGGCTGGATGTGTGGAGGGATGCAGACCCGCCCAGCATGATGGACAAACTCCTCAAGTGGGCTCACTGCCTCATCGCCTACTTCATCCCCTGCAGTGTTTTCCTGGTCACCAATTCAGCCATCATCCTCCGGCTACGGAAGAGGGGCCAGAGAGGGCTGCGGCCGGGGGTGAGCAAGAGCTCAGCCATCCTCCTGGGGGTCACCTCCCTCTTCGCTCTCCTCTGGGCACCACGCATCTCAGTCATGCTGTACCACCTGTACGTGGCCCCTGTCCACCGGGACTGGAGGGTCCACCTGGCCTTGGATGTAGCCAACATGGTGGCCATGCTCAACACAGCTGTCAACTTTGGCCTCTATTGCTGCATCAGCAAGACTTTCAGAGCCACGGTCCGACAGGTCATCCACGAAGCACACATGTCTTGTACCTTAAAGTCACAGCCAAAGGGCACAGTAGTGGACCTTGTGCTGAAGTCTGTAGGGGCAGAGCTGTAGAGGAAGGGGGCCGTGCTCAGTATCCCAGGGGCCTCCGCGATACCTGCAAAGAGGCCTTTGCATTTGTTTTGGTTTGGTTTTGGTTTCTGAGACAGGTTTTCCCTGGGTAGTCCTGGCTGTCCTGCAACCTGATCTGTAGACCAGGCTGGCCTCCAACTTGGAGATCCACCTGCCTCCACCTCCCTAGTGTTGGGATTAAAGGCGTGTGAAATCTTTGCTATTGTATCCATCAAAACTTTGCCAATTTTGCAGTCTGGGGAAGAGGAAAAGGCCTCCCCCTTTGGAGGACTCCAGGTAGAAGGAAGAAAACAAACTTAAGTCACTCTGTAGGCTAGCTTCATCCCAGTTCCCATTTTCTGGGGGAAAAACGGGGCTCCACTGGCCCACACATCATAACAGCTGCCGAGGCACCCCTTGGAAAAGGGCCATCCACCTGCACAAACTTAACATGAGCTGAATGCGTGAATGGAACGATGGACAGATGGACAGATGCACATTCATGAGAACCTGGCCTGCCTCCTGCTCCCTCAATTGGCAGTCTCTTTGGCTTCTCTTTGGTAAGGCTGGAAAGGGGTTCAAGGCCTTTCCTGGGCTAAGGGTGCCAATGATTTTGGCTGAGTGATGGGAGGTACCTAGCTAGGGAACAGAGGTCCTGGTGTCTTAACATATATACACTGGGTGTCCCAAGGCCTATCCCAGACAGGGAGAAGCAGTCCCTTTGGTCTCAGACACTCTAACTTGATTCTGAATTTCTCCTTGCACCAGCCCCATAGTGTATCTATGAGTCTTGCTTTGCCATCATCAGCCCAGGGTACTAAAAATTAGTTCGTACGTGCACGTGAGTTCCGTGTGTGTGTGTGTGTGTGTGTGTTGCTGTTATCTTCAACTGCCCCCCTCCCCCAGCCTTGGAGGAAGACATTTCTTTTGCATTGGGAGGGAGGCAGAGTGACTGAGCGATGGGGTTGAAAAGTCTTTCCCCCTCCCTGACCCCTGTGAGGCCCCTTTTATTGGCATTGCCTCACCCCCACCCCCACCCCAACTCCCACCCCCACCTGGGACTCAGCGGGAAGAGCTCGGCAGATGGCCGGTCCACCTGCTGCAGGCCTTGAGTAAACACATTAGCTGCCAGCTGGGCCCTTTTCTGCTTCCCATTCAGGCTGAGCTGACCTCTCTCCTAAATAGGAGCCTGGAGCTGAGCCCCCACCTACCTCCATCCACACTAGCTGCATGATGCAAGCTAAAGAGCTGATGTAAGCCAGGCACACAGTTGGTTCAGAATAAATGCTCAGCTCCCCTTCCTCTCTTACTGGTCTGGAGAGAAAGACACTCAGACATGAGCCTTCGACCACACCCACAAGGAGGATGACAGTCGTCATCTTTACCCCTCAGCCACCGTTCCCAAGCGTGTCACAAACACGTATCGGCACCAGGACTCGAACTGAGAGATGACTTCTAGCCTTGGTGTAGAGCCGGTGTGCTAGTGTGTGCTAGGCCGCTGCTCCAGGCCTTTGGGCTTGGGGTGGGATCCTTCTGGCCCTGCCCTGTTAGAGTAGATGTGTGTGTGTTCTGAGCTACCAGGTCTGTTTCTGGGATACAGGTAATGCTGAGGAGAGAGAGAAGGCTGGGAATCTGGGAGCTGAGCCACCAGCTGCCTGGGGTAGGTGTATACCGCCACAGCGGGCACTGAGCATCAGAGTCTCCAGCGTGCACAGGCAGATGTGTGCAGGGCAGGGCAGATGCATGGGCTCTGTTTTCTGCTTAGGGTAGAGGGGTGCAAGTGCAGGCAACCAGGGAAGAGGGAACCCCAGGAGGAACGGATGGTGTCTGTCTCAGCTCAGACTAGTCCACCCCCTACAAGGAGTCCCTGGGAAGAAAGCCAAAGTTGTCCTTGATATTGAGCCAAATGAAATACTGATTTTCTTCCTCCCCTGTGGGAAACCTTTGAAACCTTACAAGAGAGTGACCAAGGTTAGGGACAAGCAATGACAACCCCCCCCCAGGGGGCTGGGCTAACTATAGGATGCTTCTTCCAAATACCAGGTGGTCCCATCCCCAGGGAGGCCAGAGAAGGCAAATGTTCTCAACTGTCCCAGAAACTTCCTCCAAATGGCTGGAGGAATGCTATTGAGGGCAGGTAGAAATCAACTCAGGTGGGGTCTGTGAGCCACCAGAAGTTGGGTGTTTATGCAAAGATGACCCCATTTGTTCTCACAGGCTGGGTAACATCTGTGTTTGCTTGTCTTTTTTAAAGATTGATTTATTATGTAGACAGTATTCTGCCTGCATGTACACCTGCTTGACAGAAGAGGGCACCAGATCTCATTATGGGTGGTTGTGAGCTACCATGTGGTTGCTGGGATTTGAGCTAAGGACCTTTGGAAGAATAGCCAGTGCTCTTAACCTCGGAGCCATCTCTTTAGCCCAACATCTGTGTCTTCAAACAGCCTGCACACTGAAGTACCGTGACCACTTAACTGTGGAACAGGGAGCCTAGGGCAGTGAACTGCCGTGTGCACAGCCCCAAAGCTGGTCCAGGAGTCCGAAAGCCTCTTCGGACCTAGCGTGAGACAGGTGGTCTGACATGCAGAACACCTGAGGGATGCTTTGTCCTGCCTCTATCTTTCCAATCCTGGGCTTAACAGTCTTGGGGCCTAGTATCATGGTGTCCTAATAAAACTCATCGGGCACCAGAAACCATTGGACTCACAGGTGGTCTCAGCCTCTTACAAGGCTGAGGCAGAAGGAGTCTTTGAGTCCAGGAAGTAGCATATCCAGGCCCTGTCTAGAAATCAGTGAAAAGCGTGAGGACTAGGAGACGGTTCAGTGGGTAAGGTGCTGACACACAAGTGAGAGGACAGGAGTTTGGGTCACCTGAGAGAAGAGGCGGGGCAGACCTGGCAGCCATCTGTAATCTCAACACAAGGGAGATGGGAAGAGGAAATCCCCAGGGCAAGCTGCCTGGCTAGACTAGCGGAACGGCTGAGCTCTGGACTCAAGTAAGGGACCAACGCAGCCCTCAGCCTCCATGTGCATCCACACACCATCCACACACCATCCACACACGTGCACAGGAATCGACACAGGATTGCACACCAATACAAGAAAGGAAAGGAGAAAATGCATTGGGTCACTAACACGTTTGTAGAGTGAATGATAAGGGGCGTGCCTGTAATCTCAGCACTGGAAAGATAGAGGCAGGAGTATCCAGAGGTCGAGGTCATCCTCAACTACATAAGGAGCGTGAGGCTATCCTGAGCTATAATTTTGTTAAGTGCTTCATTGAGATGTAAATGGCAAATGCTATCACGCATCTGCTCTTAGCTGGGCATTTTGGCACACACCAGTAAATGAGTACTTGAGAGGCTGAGGCAGGAACATCGTGAGTTTGAGGCCAGCCTGGGTTATGTAGAAAAAAAAGCCACCACCCCCCCCATCCTAAATGATTTGTTCTTGTATCCTTGTGCACTCTGGCTTAAGAGTTTTGGAGAGGTGGTTGGGTGGGAGGTTGAAGCCAGACCTCACTATGTAGTCCAGAATGATCCGAACTTAGGGAGATCCTCCTGCCAAGGCTGCCTGGGTGCCGAGATCACTGTGAGAGCCTCCATGCCTTCCTTTAAGCATTTCCTTAGCCATAAACTCTCAAGTGGCTTTTAGAAGAGAAAAAGTCCCTTCCGTGTCTGTTTCCTTCCCCTTCCTTCCCACTCTCCACCCACCTACCCACACACCTGCTGAAATATCTTTTGACTGATGGGAATCTACATTGGATCCATGAGGTCCTTCCTTGTGGTCCTGGCTTCCAAGTGACCACCTATCAGTCACTTTTGCTGAAGATTTAGCTTTATTAGCTTTGGGGGATGGTTGACAAGGGTCTCCCATTTCCTCCCAATTTTTTTTTTTTTTTTTTTTTTTTTTTTTTGAGGGGAGATGTTTTGAGACAAGGTTTTTCTTTTGTAGCCCTGACTGTCCCGGAACTCATTCTGTAGCCCAGGCTAGCTGGGAACTCAGGGATCCACCTGCCTCTGCCTACAAAGTCCTGGGACTAAAGGCATGCACCACCACTGCCTGGTTCTTCCCACGTCTCTATGTGGCTTTTGCTGGTTTGACTGGAAGCTGGCCGAAGAATGACTTTCTGGACCCGCCTCATTCGCTTTCTAAGACTGACAGGCTGAGGCTTGAACAACAGAAGTGAATTGACCCTCAGCTCTGAAGTCCAGGATCAGGGTGCTGGCACTTTTTTGCCTTGTACTTGAGGTAGAGTCTCATGTAGCCCAGGCCAGCCCCAAATCCACAGTATACCCCAAGTGAGTGTCCATGGGCTGGTTCACCCTCAAATACCCACACACATCCTACTCCCACTGAACCTCAGATCCAGAGCCTGGAGCATGCCAGGCGAGCACTCTGCCACCGAGCTATATTGCCAGTCCTAATTTCTGAACTGAGACCCCTAGCTGTCCAGGATACTGTGCTGAAATGACCGTGGGACAGTCTTAGGCATAGGAGTATCTTGGGATTCCAATCACTCATTTAGGACTGTTCCGAAACCTCCATGAGGAAAGCATGGACTCTGTATTTACAGAGTCCTGCTACCCAATGCCCCTGACAGCTCATCCAGCAGGGGGCGCTGCAGGACTGTCTGGCTGACACATCAGGCAAAAGGGTCTAGAGGCCCTTTCAACTAACAGGCTTTTATAGAAGAACCCAAGTGACTGACTGCCTCAGGGCCCACAGCCAGCAGGGAGTTAGTCAATGGAAGGGTTCAGCTGTCCCTGTCTTTAGGTCCTCACTGAAGTCACATCCTGCCCTCACACTAGGGTTCACTAGCCCAGAGACCCTGCTCTTTTCACACATGCCGGCGCTCACGCACCCACGCAGCCACACACCCAGTGGTTTCCTGAGCACAGCTGTGTGGAGAAGGCCCCTTTCACTCTCCACCAGCAGTGTCCAGGTCCACGTGTTGACCTCAGCAATGCTAGTCTCCTTTCCACCAAGGGGAGTTTGGCCCGTCCGGGTCTATTTGGTCCAGTCCAGGTCTCTGGAATCTCACTTGCTCTACGATAACCCACTTCCATGAGGACCCTACCCCCCACCCCATGAGAACAGTTTCTGTCCTGGGCAACACTTGGGCATCTTGCCCTCCAAGGGAGTTTGAATCTGACAGGAAGGTGAGTCATGACAGCAGTGAGTCATGAGCAGAGGTAGGAAAAGAACCGAACCC